CTCTACTGCTTGAGCCACAGCACCACTTCTGGTTTTCTAGTGGTTTATTGGAGATAAGAGTCTCATGGACTTTCCTGCCCTGGCTGGCTTTGAACCGTGATCCTCAGATCTCAGCCTCCTTAGTAGCTAGGATTACAGGCGTGAGCCACCAGCGCCCGGCTGAGCAGTGACCTTTTAAAAATGTATTTTTCTTTGAATTTGTTGTGCTATGAATCAGTACAGTCTTCGAACACTGGGCTCATTTTATTCTTGTTTTGTGTTTCTAGGATTTGTCTATACAAGAGACTGGACATTGCTTTTCTCTCTTCAGACACAGAAGGAAGATATGAAAAGTTAGAAGTATATATAGGTATCCTTCTTCCATCAAAATTACTCACCTTTAACAAAAATAATTGAGTAAAATATTAGTAGATGAAACTTTGAGTCAAGAAAATAATAAAACCTTTAAGTCCCTAAGTTACAAAATGATAATGAAACATCACACTTCCTGTGGTCTCCTCCTCCACATCTTCCAATTCTGTTGGCCTCTCAAAGTGCAGTAATCACCTCACCTTCTTCATGGCAAATTTCAACAATGGTCCAGCACTTCCTTGCTTATGTACATCCATGGCTTTGATGGTATGATCAAGCTCCTCCTTATGATTATGATGGCTTCTTGACCTATAAGAAAATATCCTACATTAGGTCCAATCTAATATTTCTTTTAATTTTGACAGAACCTATGCAAATATTTAGTGAAAACATTGTGTCTTCCAGCTGAGACTGCCAAGCTTAGAGCGAGAAAGGGGGGGGTGAGGGAGGAAGGAGACTGACAGAGACAGAGACAGACATTCAGAGACAGACAGAGATGAGAGAGTGCAATCAGAGGAACATGGAGGATGTTAGAAATGACTATGGAATCTGGGCTTATATCAAGTAATTTAGGAGTATGGTAGTGGGGTTACAGAAGGGATGCTTTGCCTTGGATTGGCTTCTGGCAGGAAGTGGAGCTCTTTCCTTATTGTAATGCCTAAGAATCTTCTTTAGAAGCATGAGCAGCTAGATTGAGAGTAAATCTGTGATTAATAAGGCAGCAGCAGTCACTCAGGGTCTTTTATGTTCCTGGGACAATTTTCACATCCATGTGTTCAGACATTACTCTTTGTTCTGATTGTTATGTTCATAGAAGAGACTTGGCTAATGTTGATCGGTAAAGCTGTTGACTACTAGGATCAGTATACTAGGACCTAGCTCAGAGTGCCAGGCCAGTACCCATGTCTGGGTGGTTTTGCTCTTTGTCAGCATTGCAATGATTTCCAGCAGCATTCTGACTTTGGTAAAGGCCCTGGGTGGGACATAGGTATCCCAAGAGGCTGACCTCAGAGAGCGAATCTTTGATCTATTTTACTTACACTGCAGATACTGCCTTTTGATCTCTGTCAGAGAGTTGCCTTCAACCTCAAAGGGGTATCTTAATACTTCCCTTTTAACCAAAGTACCATGGTTAAGATCACAACCCAATCTCAAAAAGAAATGGTAACAGGAACCTTGAAGCTACCTCTTATTATGACTATCCCATTCTTTAAAAAGTCCAGGCTATCATGAGGACTCATGAAAGGGGAAGATGAATCAGATGACACACTGAAGTCCTCTATGCCTGAGCTCTGCTTCCTCTACTCAAACAATGTGGTCATTCCATGTCATCTAAGATGGAAGATTTGGGGGAAACCAAATCACCATTGTATGTATTCATGCCTATAACATTTGTTTGTTTGGTTGCTTGTGATGAATAATGACATTTAAGCAGTGGTTTATAGTAGTGTATATTTTACACTGTAGAATCAAAGGGAACTTTAAAAAAGAGATTCTGTTTTAATTGGTCTGGTCTTGGGCCCAAGGAACTATTGTGCTTATTTACAAAATAAAAGACTCCCCAGGTAATCCTAAAGAGACACTCTATGAAACACTAAAGGGTCTTTTGCCCCCCCAGTGCATGGTAAATTATCCATGGAGGAGGCTCAAGAAGACCTTTTCCCTCTTGGCATCCAAGTTTGGTATCATTAAAATAGTGCCAACATGCTTATATAGCCAATGGGTTTTAAGTGGCAGGCTGTTAGAAAAAGTAGTGTCTACTTACAGTCTTGACTGAAGAATGAATTATTAGAATAAAGCAAAACCAGCTGGTTTCTTCAAGGCTTTGGTGAGTTAAAATAATTCTGTGTGCATGGCCATCGTCTCTGACCTATAAACAGGATGAAGGAGCAGTCACAGAGAGAAATCGAGAGCCAGCGCCTGGCGCAAGGTTGACAAGCAGACATATAAACAGAGTCTTGGGAGGAAGCTGTGTTTACAGCAACTGAAAGGGAAGCCCTAACCTCCACAGCAACAGGGGACTTGGTGCCTATAAATAGTCAGTTAGGTTATTTCCAACATTAGATAATAACCACTCACCAATAAATGTTTCCTATTATGCATTATAAATTAATCACTGGTTTGACACTCATGTAACTGTCTATTGTACTTAGGGGCTCTGCAAAAATAATTGTAGACTGAGCCACAGAACTTCCTAGTGTATAAACAGCAGCATTCTTCAAGCAAGCACTTAAGAAAACAAGAGAGAAGATGGCTGAAATGCAAATGCTAAGAATTACACCCCAATTAAAGGACAGCTCAAAGGGTCTTCAAAAATATTGCTGTGTAACAGCCATAATTACACTAGAGAAGATGTTTATATATATGTATATATATATAATGTGTGGGTATAGTTGGTATATATAAATATATGTATATATATATATATATAGACACACTGTATATCACAATTGCTGAAAATAAATATTTTGTGGATTGTATAATATAGATATAAAGATGCTTGGACTATATAGCTTAAGTTAATAAGCTATGTGCCTGGGCTACATTATTATTAAAGTACCTTTAATTATTACATCCTAAAGGGTAATATTAGAAAAAATATAATTGTGATTGAGTTTTATTAGATAGGTCAGGCTTTCCTGAAACTCCTCCTTGCTGTCAAAACCTCTTAGGTTTTGGACCTTAGGTCTGGACCACCAAACCCAGCTATTGGTTGAAATGAGGTTTTCTAAACTTCCTTTTTATCGTTTTTTAAACCTGTGCTAGCCTGGAATTGCAGTCCTCCCTTTCTTTGCCTTCTGAGTAGCTAGTATTTTAGAAGTGAGCCATGGTATCTGGCTTGAAATTTCTATTAAAGTGAAAGCAAGTTTTTGTGTTTACTAAAGATGTAAAGACATTGGCGCTCATTTAGGGAGAAAAAGAAGTATACAGATGACCAGTAGAGATGAAGAACTCTGGAACCAGATGTTTTGTACTTAAATACTAGCTCGGTCTTCTAACTCAGAGAGTTCTTGGATAAGTTATTAAAATGCTGTACTATTCCATCATCTGTAATCTGGGGACAGAATGACCTCATGGAACTCTGGTGGGGATTATTCAGTATAATGAAACACCTGGAACTGTACTTGCACACAGTAAGCACTTGGAAACATCATTCACTTTTTAGTTTTTCAGACAGGATTGAGTAGCTGTGAGATGGATTTTTATCAAGCAAGAAAACTCACTGCAATAAGTTCCATGTACCAAAGATGATTTTTCTGAAATAGAACCTATCTCATTTTCGGTCAAATTTATACTTAGTGCCTAGTCTAAGGAATGAGGCTTAGAAATCCCTGAGGCTGAGATCATTTGTTTCCTTACCAATTTACTTTTGTTTTGCCCATAACTTCTGAAAGGATACAATAATTTCTTTGTACGAAAGTCTGCTTCCATCTCAAGATGAAAAACAGAAAACCAAAAAAAAAAAACCCCACAAAAAACCACAGACCAATTAAAATAATTTCAAAAGGTTTGTTGGCAGCATGAATAATATTTAATATCTGTTCTAGAAAGAGCTTTCAGAACCGTGGAAGACCCTAAAGGGCAGAGCGGACATCTGAAGTCCTTTCATCTCTAGACGCATTGTAAGGTCACTAAATTCCATGGTTACAGGTGCAGGTGTAGTACTAAGGCTCACTACTTCTTTTCTGGAAATCAGGTGCTGCGAAGAGTCCCACCGGGGCCTGCAAGAGCCTCAGGCTTGTCTGGACAGGAGGCTTTAGGTTACTAAGAACTTTCTTAAGCTGTGAACAGAGAAAATTGTCCCCACACTCTAGGGAGTGCTCAGGGCGTCTGTGGGTAATGCCCCTCTCATCAGGGCTGCCCTGGCTTTTCCCTAAAGAAGGAAATTAAACTGCTATGATCATCTATGAGCTTAGCAGCTAGAAAGTAAACAGAAAAGATTTTGAAGATATTTATATGTTCATATTGGAAGAGGAAGGATAATTACTTCTACTTTGATTACTTTTAAATGACATAGCATTGGAGTTGAAATGACAAGCCCCATTATTTGGGGATTGTTTTCTAACTAATAATAATTAAAATAAGTGTTTAGTGTATAATTATTACATTTTTTCTATTATATGCTTTAAATATTAGATATTACTTTTTAATCTTTGCAACAGTTTCTTTAAGTGCCATTTTTCTACTTTCTTATTAGCATTTATTAAGTTTATAAAATAATGGGTTTCCTCACGACATTTTCATACTCTAAGTGCCATTATTAACTCTAAGTCCTAGAGCATGCGTGAAGGTCTGCTGGAAGGTACAAAATATATGGGACAGAGCATTGAAGTGAATTTATTTGGAAGCATGATTTAAAGATCAGAGGTCTGGCTCAAACCTAGGAATTTTGATCTCTGATCTCATGATTCTTTTTTTTTTGGTCCGGTCATGGGGCCTGAACTCTGGGCGCTGTCCCTCAGCTCTTCAGCTCAAGGCTAGCGCTCTACCACTTGAGCCACAGCGCCACTTCCAGCTTTTTTCTTTTTGCTTATGTGGTGCTGAGGAATCGAACCCAGGGCCTCAGGCATGCAAGGCAAGCGCTCTACCTCTGAGCCACCTTCCCACCCCTGAGAACAGCACTTTAACAAGTGAACCAAAGATACGACTGGAGGTGCTGGGGATCGAACCCAGGGCCTCATGCGTGCTAAGCATGCGATCTACTACTGAACTACACCCCCTGCCTCATGATTCTTCTAAACAAAGAATTTCAAAATGAGAAGGAAATAACTTTTGAATATTATATAATGCTATTTTCTGTGTGTTTAGTGTTGAATTCTTTTTCCCTCCCTTCCATATCTCTTTTTCTTTTCTTTCCTTCTTTCTTCCCTTCCCTTTCCCTCCCTCCCTCCCTCCCTCCCTCCCTTCCTTCCTTCCTTCCTTCCTTCCTTCCTTCCTTCCTTTCTTCCTTTCTTCCTTCCTTCCTTCCTCTCTCTCTCTCTTTCTTGATTTATGTAGATTTGATTTATGTAGATTTACTGTGTAGCCAAGGCGGGACTGGAACTCATTCCATATTGGCCTCAAAATCACAACCTCAGCCTCTAGATTCAGTGCCTCCACACTCAGCTTCTCCACACTCAGCACAACTACTTTTTGCTTCTACTGTTAGGAAATTCACAATAGAATTCAAAGACTGAAAACAAAAAACCTTGATAAAAAGTTTAGCTTGTTATATATCTGTGAGATAATCTCTGGTGTGATATAGAAAAGTCTTTAAACTTTTTTATTCTTTTTTTTCTCTGCAGGATACAGATCTATGATCTGACACTAAAATCTTCTAATCTCTATTACAGCCTCACAGTTTTTATTCCTCTACATTCCCCCAACCCTGAAAAAACAAGTTACTTTTCTACTAGGGAAAGACACAAAGGCCATTACTTTATGTCTAGAAAGAGTAAAGGAATTACTTAGCTATTTACAAACTCTGCACATGTGGAATCAATATAAATTTCCATTGGCTGGTTTCAAAATGTATTCAAATTATGTAATTCTTGAAATAAGAAACCTTGCAATTTAGTTCTTAATAGGAAAGTTTTCTAGATAGTTTGCCTGTTGAATATTCCCACTAATGAATTTGATTCACCAATTGTTTATAGTCATTCACTAGCATTCTTATTTACATTTTATTTGTGTTTTTGGAAGAGGAAGTTCTGCCACCTTTGTGTTACTGCTCCAGTACTAGGGTGGTGATACCTACAGAAAATCAGAAGAAAATCTAGTCAAGGACAAATTCCCCTATTTTATTGGTCTTCTGATTTGATATTTACCTATGAATTGGAACTCATACCTATTTATCCATAACCTGACTTCCACGCAAGATTGTTTTTAAGGAATATCACAGTGCTCAAGAATATATAGGTTTTAAAATAAGACCGTTGAAGTATTAAACAAGCAACTAAGAACTCTTTGAGTTGCAGCACTTCAAAATATAGCCCAATTAGGTTAAAATGTGGACTTTCTTGTAGTTAATGAAACATCAAATAGTATTTCACTGTAAATGTAAAATGGAACGCCATATTGTTTTATGGTGGGAAAACAGAGAAGCCACGTTTTGAGAGGTTGAATTACTAGTTTTTTTTTTTTTTTGGTTGTGGGGCCTGAACTCTGGGCCTGGGTGCTGTCCCTCAGCTCTTCAGCTCAATTCTAGTGCTCTACCACTTGAGCCACAGCACCACTTCCAGCTTTTTCTGCTTATGTGGTGCTGAGGAATCGAACCCAGGACCTCATGCATGCAAGGCAAGCACTCTACCACTGAATTACGAGTCTATATTAGAAGGCCAGCAACTGCAGGCAGACTCTTGTCACAAAGACCTGCAGCCCTGCAAATGCACTTCACTCTGTCAGAAAACTGAGCCATGAGAAAAAGAGAGGAAAGAAAGAGCAGAAAAACAATACCAGCAAACCAGATCAGCTCCAATGGAGAGCTGATGTGGGAGGCTCTGTTGATGGAGGAGAGCCATGAGACAGGACACAAACAGACAGGAGACACATGGCAGCGTATAACCACCTCTAAGCTAGTCTGGGACTAAACAGAATCATGGTCAGGGGGCAGGGGCACAAGAAGCTCGAGCATCTTGGGAGTTTAAAGCACAGGACTGACAGGCCCAGTAACCTATCCTCCAAGTCCCTACTCCTGCCTCTAAGAATTCAGGCATGTCCACCACCTGGGAGGCGGGACTTTTCCCTCCACCGTCAAGACAAGATGGTACCAGTTTGATTCAACTGCCTACCAACCATCATGTGGCCAAAATGGCACCAGCCAGATCCAACATCTCTATTTCAATTTTATGTTTCATTGTAAATATAAAATGTAATGTCACTTTCCATTTCATTTGTGTGCCAAACAAGATTCACGTAGGCCCAGTGTAAACCTCTGACATGCATTAGTAATTGTGAAGTTGTTGATAGAAGAGCTGAGTGTGGAATTATTATCAGAATAAAACTTTACATTTCTGTACTGTGCGCTCACAGTCGTAAACTTATGTTATTTTATTTTGCTTTTCTTGACACTCTCCCAGAGTTAGGTGTTACTATCTTGGCCTTATAGATTGATTAGGAGACTGAAGTTTGGAGAGAATAGTATTTGGGAGACAGCATGGTCTAATGGAAGGAGGGGAGACTTTGGGATCCAACAGATCAAAAAATCCCAACTCCACCACTTAGTGGGTCTCATTATTTCCCAGACCTTTTAGGCCTCATTTTCATCATTTATGAAATGACCTTACAGAATTGTGAAAGCCAGACCATTAAGGTATGTTAAAAACTCACCCAGGCTTTTCTGGAAGAAATAAGAATTAGCCTTAGGATATTCCAAGCTCAGTGCTTCATGGGTATTTGCTTCTCTTTTTGTGCCCTTCACAACATTAGGACATTCATTTCTGGGTTTTGTTGCCACAAAGTGCCCCTAATCAAGACAGGAGTAAAGTAACCACTATTGCAGATAAAAATCTGAACTTCTTATTGCATTGATGCCCTTTCCTGGGCCACCTGGGCCTTTCTTAGTCCCGCCTAGATGGTCACAATCCACAAATGTATGTATATAGTTAAGAGCCGCACGCTTTGCTTTATGGGTTGTGTGGACGTGTGTGCACTAGCTGGAAGGAGCTGCTCTGCTCTAGTACACAATGCTTATCACCCACAGCACGTGCATTTGTGACATGCAGGCATTGCCTCTGTATTGTCTACAAATGAGGAAGACGCCTGGCGCTTGTTAAATCCACTTCTATAGTGGAGACGTGAAGGAGTGGGAAGGGAGACTACTTGTGCATCATTACACAGGCAGTCTATGATTTACAGGACAGAGAACTGAGGTTTACCAACCTTCTTCTCCACTCCCCTTTCCCCTGCAGAGCACAGAGCTGTTTTGGTTCTTGGACATTCAATTGCTTCTTCATTCTTCTTCATTTTTTTTCCAGGGAAATCACTGCCAGGGCCTCCATCCTCTGACCTATATTTAGGTCTGAAGACAGGAGTTTTCTTGACCTAGACCCAAATCAAAGGGGAGACCAGACAGATGGTGCCTAGAAAGGGGGAAGAAGCAGCTAAAAGAACTGGCTCTGGAGAGGCTACAGACAAACCTCTGACCTTGAAATCCTTCGAGAGTAGCGGCTCCAACCCTGATGATGACAGAGTTACATTAAAATATAAATGCTTCCAAATATCTGTTGCCAGGAAGCAGATGACATGCTAAATTACTCTGCAGATTGACTACTTCATTCAGCGGTTTCCTGAGTCGGGAGTTGCCAGAAGAGCCATTTTGTCCTTTCTGGCAAAAAAGCGTCCGGGATTGCTGTCTCCAGTCTTCTTTCCTCTGTTTCCTGCTGTAGGAAGGCCTGTTTCCTGCCGGGAGATGCCTGATTAGACAGCACTATTTTAGTAGGCAGGGGACTCAGTAGGCAGTTAGGCCTTTCATTTGATATGGCTCTTGGACAGTGTGGATGTCATGGACACCATGGGAATAACAAATCCTTTTTACAAAATGCAAAATGGTTAATCAAAAGCAAACTAGATAAGGCAAGGTTCTGGAAAGCGTTACATTCCAACGTTTCATCTGTTTGACTTAGAATAGTTTGGAGTTCCTGGTTTATTTTGTGTGTGTGTGTGTGTGTGTGTGTGTGTGTGTGTGTGTGTGTGTGTAAAAATCAGTTTCCATCCTCACATGATTTTTCAGAACTGAATTTTGAGCAGTGAGATTCTCATTTGCCAACTAAGTGTGATGCTGGTAATAGAACTGACTTTGAGCAAAAGGCCTCAAAGGAAGTTCAAAATATAAGACTTGAAGTTGACCTTAAGCCCGAACAGAGATTTTATAGATGCAGGTGGATAAGCTGCTAGCCAGCAACTGCGTTTGGGATAGCAACAAATCTGGAAGAGCTTTGTATCCTAGATGGTAACTACTTCTCTGTACCTTCTAGCAGTACCTGTAACTTATCTCCAAAAGGGGTGGCTGGCTGAATAACAGGCGTAGAATTCAGCAAATCTAAATAAATAAAAAGTTCCAGACATTTAGGCAAACGAAAAAGAAATAAGGGCAAGAAGCAAATTAATTGGAGCCACAAATAAACTGGTTCATAAAACACAGAGTGAAAATCTATCTAAATATCCACCACATTGCGATCATCATTATGTAAAAGACCCTTAGAGATCAACAAGAAAATTTCAAAATGCCAAATTATTAAGTAAAGTTGACAGTTGATTAATAATAGATGTGGTAGGCTAATAACCCTCAGAAGGTCAGTCTTTAATAATGAAGGCAAATGGATGGCCATTTTGCTTTTCATAAACGTGGCCCTCAGTTACTCTGGCTTGTCTGTGTCTCAAAGTGCAAGGAAATGAAGTAACCCTATGGGCTGAGACATCATGTCTTCTGAGCATGAGTCCAGAAGTAGGTTCATTTTCATGACAGTCAATGAGAGAAATTCTGTAACTCAGCTGTCATCGAATAGAATGAGTTTCTTAGCATAGCAAGCCTGACTAGTGTCATGAGAATGCATGGACTTGATCAGAGGGGTCTCATTCTTCCTCTACTTGTGTCTGATATTATTATGTGGGGTTGAAGGTGGGAAGATAGCCAGTAATTAATTGCAAGTTATCTTTTAGAGAATGCTGAGCACTAATTCATTGCAAGAGCATTCAACTAAAAGAAGGATTAGGTGTTTTTCAGGGTTTTTGCCTAGATTTA